ATTGTCCTCTTCCCCATCATTCTTGCCGCCCGGAATCCTCGCGATCCAATCCTCCCACTTGACTCTGCCCCACCATCCGCGGCGCTGGCGCCAAGAATGGGGGAGGGAGGGGAGCCGCCACTGCCTGCAGAGTAAGCGGGTTGGAGGGATGGAGGGAGGGAGGGATGGAGGGATGGAGGGAGGGAGAGAGGGGGCCATTGTGCGTCTACAAGCGCATCAGGGTGGAAGCGCGTGCATGGTGGGTGTGCCAGGGGAGGGGCAGGCCCAGGGGCGGGAGAAGGAGAGAGAGAGGAGGAATCGGAGAGAGAGGTGGGAAAGGAGAGGGAGATAGGGAGATGGAGAGAAAGGGGGAGAGGGAGAGAGAGAAAGAGCGGAGAAAGAGGGAAGGTGGATGTCACCATGGAAAGGAAAGATTGGGATGATTAAACTCCCTTTGGAAGGGCAGAAAAAGCCATCACGCGGAAGCAATGATACAACAGGTTTGTAAATAAAGGTCATGTGCTGCTTTAGGAGGGGAGAAAGAAGGAAAAACACGAAATCAGCGATACAAGGCTCGGCGCTGGGGTCGCGGTTCGTGTTCCAGGGCCACCCCCTTTCTTTCCGTAATTTCAAATCCATTTCAAATTTAGATTCAAACACCCCCCACAAGGCGAGGGCCTTGGCCGTCTCAGAGGATTCCGGGTATCATGGCCCTCCTTTTCAGCTTCTTGTAGGCATCCCCGTGTTCCTTAAGGTACGCTTTGTGTTTGAGCTGCGCCCATTGCAGCATTTGCGACGCCCCCACCAGGGTGAAGAGGAAAGAGAGGGGGAGGAAAGTGAGGAGGGAGAAGCCCACCCAGGCTAGGACTTCGCAGAGGTAGTTGGGGCAGGCGAGGTAGCGGAAGAGGAAGCCGTGGGGGATGGGCCGGGAGGGAGGGGCGCCGATGGTGGTGGAGGGACGGAGGGAGGAGAGGAGGAGGTGGCAGTAGAGGTTGCTGACTTCGGCGAGGAGGAAGAGGAGGAGGCCGCAGAAGGGAAGGGAGGGCGGG